TTTACAAACAATTTCAAAGAATTCATGGATTACATAAGACTTTTTGTCCATTGACTCCATCTTAAGGACTACTGCTATAGTTGTGTAATATCTTAATTTAAGGGAGATCATAATTTAATTTAATAACATCTTAAATTTAGATTATAGCTGTATTTTTATGTATCTATCGTAGTTCTATTTCTCTAATCTATCTCTGTATCTTCCCAATCTATCTATCTATCTGGGTGGTGAGAACTTTTTATTTTATGCTCTAATTAGCCATCATAGGCCTGATGATTACATTTAAAATCTTATATATAAATGAAGAAAATGACCCAACTGTGGTTAGTAGGGTACACAAATTGTTACATACCCTATATTAAAATTGTTCATGGTGGCGTTTTACTCATTACACTTAAAAAATTGCTTGAGATATAATTCATAATTCGTATATTATAAAATTCACCCATTTAAAGTGTACAGTATGATAGTTTTTTTTTATTACATTCACATAGTTGTGTAAAATCACCATAATCACTTTTACATTGTTTTCGTCACCCCCTAAAGAAGCTTCATTCTTATTAGCAGTAACTCTTAGGTCCCCTTCACCCTTTGCCCTAGGCAACCACTAATCTACTTTTTATCACTATGGATTTTCCTATTCTGGTTATTTCACGTAAAGAGACTTATACAATATTTAGTCCTTTGTGACTAGATTCTTTCCTTATGTTTTCAATGTTGATCTGTGTTACAGTGAGCATCAATTCTTCATTCTTTTTCGTTGCTGAATAATATTTCATTGCGCAAATATACCAAATTTTATTTATCCATTTATCTTGGACACCCTGTCAAAAAGTGGGCTAAGGACATGAACAGGAACATTCCATAAGAAGACAGAATAATGGCCAACAAACATATGAAAAAATGCTCAACATCTCTAATCATCAGGGAAATGCAATTCAAAACCACAATGAGATATCACTTAACTCCAGTAAGAATAGCTTTTATTAAAAGTTCCAAAACAATAAATGTTGGTGTGGATGCGGAGAGACAGGAACACTCCCACACTGCTGGTGGGACTGCAAACTAGTGCAACCTCTGTGGGAAGCAATATGGAGATACCTTCAAGAGATACAAGTAGATCTACCATTTGATCCAGTAATCCCATTACTGGGCATCTACCCAAAAGAACAAAAGACATTCTATAAAAAAGACATCTGCACTCGAATGTTTATAGCAGCACAATTCACAATTACAAATATGTGGAAACAACTCAAGTGCCCATCAATACATGAGTGGATTAATAAAATGGGGTATATGTATACGATGGAGTACTATTCAGCTCTAAGAAACAATGGTGAGATATCACCTCTTGCATTTTCTACTAAGTGAAGTATCCCAAGAACAGAAAAATAAGTGCCACATGTACTCACCAGCAAATTGGCATTAACGGATCAACACTTAAGTGGACATATAGGAATAACATTTATTCGGTGTTGTGAAGGTTGGAGGGGGGAAGAGGGGATGGGTATACACATATATAATGAGTGTGATGCACACTCTCTGAGGGATGGACACACTTGAAGCTCTGACTCAGGACAAAGGCAACACATGTAACCTAAACATTTGTACCCCCATAATATGCTGAAATAAAATAATATTTCATTGTATAGATATACCACATTTTATTTATCCATTTATCTTAGATATTTATTTTATTTATCCAATCATTATCATCCATTTAGTTGATGGATGTGTGGGTTGTTTCTCTTTTGACTATGGTGAATAATACTGCTATGAACATTTATACACAAGTTTTTGTGTGAATATATGATTTCACTTTGGGGGAGTATATGTACCTAGGAGTGGATTTACTGGTTTGTGTGATAAGTACATGTTTGACATTTTGAGGAACATTCAGATTGTTTTCCAAAGTGACTGTACCATTTTAAATTCCCACCAGCAATGTGTGAGGCTATTACTTTTTTCACATCCCTGACACTTACTATTTTACATTTTTTCGATGATGCTGTCCCAGTGGGTATGACATATATCTCCTTGTAGTTTTGATTTGCATTTTCCTAACAGCTAATGATACTGAGCATCTTTTCGTTTGCATACTGGCTATTTGTCTAACTTCTAACTTCCTGGCCAAATTTGTCTAACTCCTTATCCTTTGCCCATTTAAAAATTTGTTTATTTATAGTTTTATTGAGTTGTAAGAGTTCTTTATATATTATTCTAGATTAAGTCCCTTATCAGATATTTCATTTGCAATTTTTTTTCTGATTCTGTGGATTGTCTTTTACTTTCTGATGTTTTCTTCTAAGTACAAACATTTAAAATTTTTATGAAGTCCAATTTATCTATTTCCTCTTTTGTCCCTTGTACTTTACATGTCACATTCAAGATTCAAGAAGGTTTTGCCTAACTCAATGTCATGAAAATTTGCTTCTGTCATTTTTTTTCTAATTGTTTTATAGATTTACTTCTTACTTTTAGGTTGTGGGTGTGCTTTTGAAGTTTTTATAACAGTGGGAGTAAAGTTACTGGAAGTATTTGCTTATGCTACAACACTAGCACCTGTATGTAACATAGTTTATATATGCTATCATGATAAATGAGTAAGATTCTCTGAGTGCCCACTGGACATACTGAATTCTGAAGCATATTGCTAAATAGTTTTGATATTCCCCTCTTTGATATTCCCCTATTATTTTATATTTCATTCAATAAGTATTAGTGTATTTCTGGTCCTAATCATGCCTTATCCAGATCCATTGCCTAGTAAGGTAGGGAACTATTTAATATGGTAAATACCAACTTTGTAGCATGGCCAATTGACTTTCTTACTTTTAACAATAGAACAATTTGTACAGCAGAGAGAATGTAGATCACTGTGTGGGAGAGATTAGAGAAGAACAAGAAGAATATCTAAAGAAGATGTCTGTAGCATACCATATATCTGTCATATGAAAAGTGACATAAAACCTTTGATATATTTTAGGATCAGAGTCTATGGCTATGTATCTAGATATTTTACATTTGAGAATATGTTACTCATCTGCAAACTATTAAAATGATTAGCCTCTCATAGTAAATACTTTGGGAACTTTTTCAATTATGGCTTTTAAAAGTAATTGTTAATTCTATATTCTGTAAATTCTTCATTTAATTTAGGGAAGCCAGTACTCATGATACATAATATTTATTATTGTGATGTGTACTACAATTAACTGTCGATATACTTTGGTTCTCTTTAGATTTTTTTTAAAATTGTGAACTGTATTGCATAAATTACTCTTTTGCTTTAGGTACGTAGCATAATGTATATGTTATTTTCTGGATCTGATGCAATAAAAAGGTAGTCAGCAACCTTTAAAAGTTAATCCTCTTCAAAAAAGAAAAAAGCTCATTCATGACCAAATTAAATTCCCTTTATTAAGTTAAAATATGCATTTTCAATTAATATTAAAAGTGAGCCAGAATAACATAAAGGAGTAAATATTGCTTTTTATTGAGCAGAAATATGCTAATATTAGGTGATTCATTGGAAAATTATAAGAGCAAACTCTTAAGAAGCTCTTATGTAGATCATTATGTCTCCAAATGTGGTCAATCTTCTCAGCATCTCTTTTTCATTTCTTTGCAGACATTGCTGACACCTTAAAAATATTCAAAACAACCTATTATGCAAAATTTGATCTTAAAATACCAACAGGTCCTGCTCTTCCTATTTCTTATACCCTTATTGTCCCACTTCCATTGCATTCAGAAGGAAGTCATTGGCAACTGTTCCTCTTCCTTACTACTGTATGTGATGATACACCAAATTCTGTCAAATATTTATTTTGTGATGTGCCATATATCTTCCTCCCTTTCTACCTGAGCCAACATTTCCCAAGGTTAAATTCTTTATATTTTTCTCTTCTAATATTTAAATAACTCTTGACTGTCTTTTTGCCTCCATTGCTATTCATCATTTATATTGCAGACTGAAAGTATCTTTCTAAAACACACAGTCTTGTCTCTATGTCCTCAAAATGTGTCATACATGTAGACTAAAAGTCACACTCCTTAGCATGATATTTACAGCCCTTTCATCTCAATCTCTAAGACTACCTGATACCTTTCCCTGCTACGTCAAACGTCCTCCCTGATTATGAAATGTACCATGCACATATTATCATTTTTTTCTGTCTTTTTGCTCATGATGTTCCTTTGGTCTGAATGCCTTACTGCCTTAATTGTCATATTTCCATTCTTTATAGCTCAATTTAAGTGCTCCCTTTTCTGGAGCTCTCCTTATTATATCAAGTTAGATTAATATTCTTCTTTGCTTTCAGTCTATAATGCATTTCTTATATAACTTTATGCAACATATATTTCATTTTAGCATAGTAATTTATGCTTGAGTTCCTCAGTCAGACACACCTCGGTTCAAATCCTGCCTCTATTGCTTACTGCATCTACACTTCTGGGCACTTGATATCATTTCCTAAGCTTCTGCCTCATCTAGTAAATTGTGATATTATTTGTACATTATTTACGGGTCTTTTTTGTGTTAAAGTCTACTGACATAATACCAGCATAGTAAATAATATCTCTGTGTGTATTCTAGGCTCTTGCCCACTTGTCTTTCTTCCACAGTAGATAGTAAGAACTTTGAGGAAAGAATATTAGCTTTATTCATCTTAGTACCCATACCAACATTGTTGGTCCCAAAAGAAAATCTTTTGTTCTCTTTTACTTTTGCTCATCGTGATTCATAGAACATGTTGAACCTAAATCATTAAAATTAACATATTAATTTAGTGCTATATTGCCTCATTCCACAAAGGAGTTGAGATGGCTTAGGAGATGCATAAAGAACAAAAAAGTGAAACATAAATTAAATAATGATATTAGGTTATTCATTTGAATAATTGAAGAGTTTAATGTCACCATTATGAATCCAAGTGAAATAGTAGGTGTAAAAAAGAAAATAGTAAAGCTTATGTCCCTTCGGTCATGTTTCGTAGGATCTCGTCTTCGCCAAGAAGACTTTCCCCCTCGGATTGTGGAGCACCCTTCGGATGTCATCGTCTCTAAGGGGGAGCCCACCACTCTGAACTGCAAGGCGGAGGGCCGGCCAACGCCCACCATTGAGTGGTACAAGGATGGGGAGCGGGTGGAGACTGACAAGGACGATCCCCGTTCCCACAGGATGCTTCTACCCAGCGGATCCTTATTCTTCTTGCGCATTGTGCATGGGCGCAGAAGTAAACCTGATGAAGGAAGCTACGTTTGTGTTGCAAGGAACTATCTTGGTGAAGCAGTGAGTCGAAATGCATCTCTGGAAGTGGCATGTAAGTGAACGTAATAAACATGCACATTTACTTTTATTTATTTTTAGTAGACTTTGATTTGTTCCGTAGATGCTAAAGACCTAAGGAATAAAAAAACCAACACACTGAATAATTTTACTTTGCCTTCTTCTTAGAAATCTAGTCAAAGTAATACCAAGTCAGGGTGTTGCAATAAATTTGTTTATATTAAATTAATGTTATGGTTATGTTCCTATATTATATGAAAGCAAGGTGTCAATCATGCTGTTCATATTTAAAATTTGAATTATTAATGAGAAATATACTCAATTATTAAAGTTGGCTATGTTAAAATGAAAAGTTTATGTGTAATATGGAATCAAATACAAGGCATAAATTCAATATTTTCCCATTTCTGTTATCTATTTGTATATAACTACTTTACATATATATATATATATACACATATATATTTACTTCTACATCTACCTTTTATCAGGCAACTTTAAAACATTCTATTATTCTCTAGCTTATATTAGCTGTTTTACTCCTAGACTGAATTCAGTAATTATTGCCCTAGGTATGGAGGGGTGAATACCAATGATATGTAATAAAGGTCATCAGAGAAGAAATCTACTTTCTGTGGGAACCAAATGTTCTTATATAGGAGGGTTTCTCATTTCTACTTATTCTTGGTAATCAGCAATAGCTAATGACTTGCCCTGCCTTTGGCACTTTTACATATTTTTTATTCATCTCAGAGCTCAAATAGCAGTGGTAAATCGAGATATCAATGTTTTGCATGTATTTGAATATTGACTCCATAAATTCATGGATCGTTTTCCAGAACAAATTTAAAAATGTGATATATTTATTTTCTGATTTATAGGTGAGGATTTGGGGTTGTAATTTCAACAATACCATAAGATTTTGTATTAACTTATCTATTCTGAAGAAAGACTATATCTACAATTAATTGTGAATGAGATGGCAACAATTATTGCCTAAAGATGTTTGTACTTTTCAACTTTCTAGTTGTAAAGTAGGTATTCAAAGATAAGAGAGTTGAGACATTTCAAGATGCTTGAGTCTTACTTATGTATCTGGGAGGCAAGTGCTATTAATAAATTATAGCTCATGGGCACATGTCTTTCTTTTGGTAAACAAAATAATACTATTTCTTTCTTTTTCTTTTCTCTTTTTCTTTTTCTTTTTTTTCTTTTCTTTTCTTTTTTTTTTTTCGTTATTGGAAAGACAGGGTCTTGCTCTGTTGCCCAGGCTGGAGTATAGTGGCTTAATCATAGCTTACTCTAGCCTCTAACTCTTGGGCTCAAGTGATCCTCCTGCCTCATTCAGCCTCCTAAGTAGCTGGGACTACAGGTGCATATTACCATGCCCACCTATTTAAAAAAAATTTTTGTGTGTGTGTGTAGAGACAGGATCTGGCTGTATTGCCCAAGTTAGTCTCTAACACCTGGCCTCAAGCACTCCTCCTACCTTGGCCTCCCAAAGTGCTGGTATTACAGGCATGAGCTACTACGCCTGGCCCAAATTATTTCTTAGGTGGCCATCCCAGTTAAAGCTTTTGTTTTCTAGTGTCCTGTCTTCTGCTTTATAATTTCTTCTGAGAAACCTAGAACACATTGATACTTACAATGTGTAACTCTAAAAAGAAAAGACTAGAAGAATCTTAAGACATTCTTTTTGTTTGAGAAATACCTTGAGAGATGAACATTAGAACTTTAACTAGCAATGCCATCTTCCTCTGGACACCAAGTAATTTTATTTTTATAAAATGATACCTTAAAAAGCACTTAAGTGCAGTTTAATGAGATTTGAAATATATACACAAAACTCCACAAAAAAAACTCTAAAGGTTCCATTTTTATCTTGAAATATCTTACTTCTGGAGCTTTTCAAACATGTTAAAATATTACAATGACAAACTTGATTGATTTTTCCCCCATCAGATCCTTTTATGGTAAAGATGACAGACATTATTCTCCCATTTTGTCGATAAATAAAATGAATCCCAGAAGGCTTAAATAACTAAGATTCAGACAACAAGTTAATGGGGAATCCTAGACCAGATCCTGAATCTTCTAATTTTTAGTTTTAGGAAATTATGCCATATTTGAAGAAACACTCTAAATGAAATCTCATCTATTTTACATAAGTAAAGATTAAGAATATTTATTTTTTTCACAATTTTTTTCTTTTTTCTACTCTATAGCAAATAACTAGTTTAAATCCTTAACAAAATTTTACTTCTCAAAATTAAAGTTTATCTAAATTGGCCAGTCATTATATTGTTGGGCAGTTACAAACTTATCATTTTTTCCTGAGCCTTAGCTTTGTTAAAATTACTCCCAGAACACAAGCACCTTTTATTTTTATTTCATCTAAAAGGCTTGCTTTCTTTCCTAATTGCATCATTAATAATGAATCAAACCATTTTAGGAGGAAAATTTTAAACCACGACTTTTTTCATGTTATGTGACAGTAATGTTTTTTTTTTTATTATTTTGAAATAAATGAGCTTTAAGAAATGCTTGAATTACTTATGACTTAGAGAGGAAAACAAGAAAGCTTCCAAATTGGATTTAGGTAGTGAATAAAATTCTTTCTTCTAATGCCATGTCAACAGTTCATGCCATTTGAGGCATCACAAGATCAAATAATATTCAATTATATGTTGCTCATCTCTTTCCATTAGCTTATCAGTCTTCTGTCTTTCCTTATGTATTTCATAAAAGATATTAATGTGGAATTTTGGGTCAAAGCATTGTGATTTTTCAATACTTATTAGTAACAGAGGTATATATTTATAAAATGATAGAGCAAAAGCTGTAGATTATATAAAGGTTTGACCTTCATATTTTACAACATTCAACATACACGCTTAATCATAGTATATCCAATTCTTCATTTTTTAACAGAAAGTGGAAAGGCGATTTACTGAAAAGGGTGATAAGGTATAGTAATGAAAAAGACACATTCCAATCTATTCATAAAGATCTCACACTCTAGTTGGGATGACAAACCTATAAATAAGTAATTGTTGTAACAAATTAAATAAACAATAAAGCCTATTATAGAAATACATGAAAGATACTATGGGAACTCTGAGGGAAAATATTTAATTCTTCCTAGATAGATGAGTTTGAGAAAGGATTCTAAAAATATACATTGTTTCAGCTCTGATTTGAAGGTCAAGTGATAATGTCCCAGGGTGGAAACTGAACTGAAAAATCATTCTGGTAAAAAAAAAAGTGGAAGCCTGGAAGGACACTGTGTATTTGAAGAACTGCAGGTAGCTCAATATGAGGTTGGGGATAGAGTAAGTTGGACAGGTAGGCACGTGCTGCATTAAAATCTAAACTTTTTGTTATGAGAAAGATGAGTCTTTGAAAGAGAATTGAAGATTGTGTTTAAAGGGATGATGATTGAAGTCAGAGAGGAGTTAAGTAGCTGTCAAATAATTCAGAAAGAGTTGATGTTTGAGTATAAACTGAAAATAGCAGTGAAGATTGAAAGGAGGAAATGGTTTGAAACGTATTTAGGAATTATAAATCGTATCACTTTATGGTCAATTTGGAGGGATAGAGGATAATTACCACATCTTTTTTTTTTTTTATTTTTTATTGATTTGGTATATAGTGCTACCATCCATAGGGAGGGGGAGCTATAGAAGTAACTTCAGTGGGAATAGGAGAGTGTGGTAAGCTTTGGCTGGATTGTCTGACATACCAATGAGATATCAAGCTTTATAACTCATGTTCCATTAAAAAAAAAAAAAAAAAACACTTCTGGAATTGAGAATAGAGGTCTTTCCCAGTTAGAGATTGAAGCCAGGGGAGTAGATAGAAGTAGAAGTGATTGCCCAGCCAGGCTGTAAGCAGGTAGCAATTAATAGGGCTTAGATCACTCCTATTTCTCGGAACAACAATATTTACTGATGGGCAACGGAAGAAGTGCCCGTGCAGGAGGCTTAGGTTCAGGAGAGGTGTCAGAGTGACAGAATATAGGCAATGAAGTGACCAGAAAAGCAAATAAATACGTTTATTAATGAAAAAAGTGATGGAAACAATGCATATGTCACATGGTGGTCAAATAAATAGTACTGGTGGTCTGTACCAATGAGGACAGAGCACAGCAGCTGAAGAGTGAGTTGCTGGTGAAGTGGGACTGGCAACTGCTGCCCATTCTTTCGAGCATGCAGCTCTTAATGGGCTGCAGGGAACTAGAGCCAGGTACCTTGGCCTCTGCACTACTGGTATTTGGGACTGGATAATTTTTTATTGTTGGAAGCTTGTGCTCTGCATTGTAGGATGTTGAGAAGCAACTCTGCCTTTTGCCCAGAAGATGCCAGTGAGACTCCCTCCAACCCTGTTGTGACAACCAAAAATGTCTCCAGACATTGCAACATGTCCCCTAGGGGACAAAGTCAATTGAGAACCACTGATCTGGGTGTGTCTAAGTAGTCAAGAGTGTATTGGAAAGAAGCAAACAAACATGTTACAACTTTTATTGTGAAATGATTACTGATTAAAAAAATTGAAAATTTTGATCATTTTGGTTTTCATTTTAATTTAAAAAGTCTTGGATTCTTCTATAATATGAAATGTGAAATTTTATTGATTACCACCTGTTTTGACTGGCTGTATGGAAGTCAGCCAGTTCTTTAGCATATCATATTTATTCTCTCTTTTTTTTTTTTTTGTTTTCCTTTAATACACACTTCAGCTTTATGTAAAGAACAATACAATGGAAGAAAAAACTACATTCAGGCCTAATGAATACAAGGGAGATTTGAATTGCTTACCTCGTATTTGCTTTTATTTATTTTTTCTTGCTGTGGAATAAAAATTGACATCTAGAATGTGCTTTTTGAATCGCTTGGACTTGAAAAAAGTCTTTAGGCAAAAAAGTGATTTTTAAATAGTTTGAAAACAGAATTGCAGAATACATAAGCAAGGGACCCGGCACATAAGAAGTTAATATGTAGTTTTCCAGTGGGACCACTGAGAGCCATGATGTAG